ATTTTTATTTGGTGCTGAGATCTGAGTATCTGACAACAGCCGAGAAGCACTTATTGTCGAGAATCTTCAGTGCTTTAATTAACATATTTTACTTAATTAAACTTTGATTAAAAGGCAGTAATCCTGATATTACGAGAGGTTGGTGACAACTGCAGACAAAAGTATCATCGAACTATTGTACTAACAATTTTTTTTTTTTGGACTCGTGATGATAAACCCCTTGCAATTTAAGTTAAGGAAGCACAAGTGTGTAATGTAGTTTAACGATTATGATGCTATCAAACCTACCACGACGACTTTTCTTGTTAACGAGGATTTGAGATCGACCGTGGGATGACATGGCATTTCATTTAGCTTATAAAAATTCTCTCATTCGAATCACATTTGTTGATCTACCAAATCATAGATTATTGAATTAAGCTAGTTTGTCCGAATTAGTTTGCCCACCTGGTTGACCTAACCTCACATGAGTGTGGGTGCGACGTGAGATCGCATGAAATAAAAAATGAAAAAAAATGCTTCCCTCCCTCCTAATGTGTGTGTTCTGTCCCTCCCTAAGAAAGCAGCTCGGTTCTAGATTATTAGACCTAGTACCCAACATAATTATGAGAACACAGCAGCAAATTTTTGTCAGCTAACTTAATTTGTCATTGCTTAGCTCAATAATTGTACTTCAACTGCCAAAATGGCAAACAGATGTGATTGAATGTGAAGGGTTATATTTGCTTTAACTTATTCTGATTTTCACTTTCTCTAAACTCGGTCGCACGAGTGGTGTGATCTCAGCACAAATAGTATCGAATTAAACTAACCTAGCGTGCAATGATCACTTATTACTATTTTTCTTTTGTTGAATATTGTTCGGTTATGTGATTCCTTGTGCCCATTTTTCAGACGGAGCAGGATGCGCAACACCCTGGTAGCAACCGTGGTGGCAGAGGTACGGGCAGGCACCACGGCGGAGGAGGGCAATGGAGACCAGCCTTACAGAGTATTGCAGAAATTGGGACCTGAACATGGACACACCACCCCCCAATTCCTCAACTTTTCATAGCCAATCCATTAATGAACACGAACTAAATGAAGTTCTATTTTCTCTACTTCTCATTCTCTTGCTCTTCCAGAATGGGAATATGATATGATGTATCCTTTGGAGTATCTCTTACTTGGTCCTCACTAATGATGTTTTGAGTTTACTTTTTTCCTTTTTTTTTTTGTCCTCCATAAACTTTTTCCCAAGTGTATCAATTGTTAAGAGTGGAGCCCTATACCCCAGCCCAAATGAAAGCCTAATGTAAAGAAATAAAAAAGGGCAAATTAGGCCAAGTACCCTAAAATATTCAATAAATATGCTAAGAGTGTTCATAGGTGCATGTGCTGTAATTATTTAATAAATATGCTAAGAACAAAAATCACATACATCAATTAATAGTACGAAATTCATACCCACGAAAGACATTTTGTGTGTGCAGGAATACTACCAGCTAGATTTTTTTCTCCTTACTCCTCAAAATAATCGACAATCAATGGGGTAAGCCAAAAACATATGGAGAAGAGTTGGGTGCCTATCTTTTATATAGGAATTTATAAAGTCGACCAACTATCGACTCAAACCCTAATTGGGTTTACAAAATTTCGACCAACATACTTAAAATTATCACATTATAAATAATAAAGCCTGAAAGGTGTACAATGGCCTAAGTGATCGCTAACATATTGGGCTAATTATAGTATCATTGTAAATTATACATATAATTCTTAAAATTCGCAATTAAATGGAAGCCCACATAATTGAATTATTCTAACATTCTCCCACTTGGGCAAACATTTGATTGCTATAAAACAGAACTTTTAATCTCCGGATCATACTACATAGGTGGCCACACAAGTAT